GGACTCAGGCTTAGATGTGATTATTGGGGATTTGATGGATAGTAGTGGTGAAGGGTCATTTGCTGGACCAGCTGAGACTACTATGGGTATTGATATTGATATTGATAATTTGGGTTTCAGTTCCATTTTCACAGAGCTCATGAGTTGTACATCATGTATTAAAAATGTAGTTGAGAATGCAGAAAATGAGGAGGATGGTATGAGAGGTTTTCCCAATGCGAATGATTGTGGGATTGGGGTAAATAATAAGGACGAAGGTAGCGATAATGAGAGTCAAGAAAATGAGGTTGGTATGAGAGGTTTCAACAATGCGAATGATTGTGGGATTGGAGTAAATAATAACGAAGATAGTGACAAAGAGGATGGTCTAAATATAATTTTTACTGATGACGACAATTCCGGGTGGGTTGGTGTGAATGAGAATGGAGTGGGGATGGACGAGAAGGTAATAGGTAGAGAAGACTTGTTTCTTGTTGTAGACAAAGACAATGATCATTGCAATAAGGGTGTGGACGAGGACGAGGCGGTTGATGGGGAAAGAAAGCGAACAGGTGAGGAGGTAAAGGGGAGAACAGAGTTGGGTAATGCCATTGGGCTGACAATTGGATTTCCAGATAATTCATGTCATTTTGAGGTTAGTTTCTTGATGTGTGTTCACCGAGAAAGAATAATAACCTTGATGTGTTGTGTTCTTGTAATTTGTACATTCAAAGGAAATTGAAGTTGCTGAACTAGCGAATGATGTTCAATACTGTTCTTATCTGTTGATTTTTCCAGTTGCAAAAGTTTTTAATTTTTTGAATATATTAATTTTGGTGTTTATAAGATGAAGAACATGAACTGAGGAGGCAAGGTGTTGCTTTCTTTGTATCTAAATACTCTTTGCCTTGACAGAGTAGTCCTGAAATTGTTCCTCTGGATGTGGGCGATTGTCTTGGTACTGCCTTGGACTTTTGAAAGTACCCCACACTCATTAGTGGAAAAGAACCGACTCGTGGAAGAAAAAAATTTGTATTTCAAAAAATTAAAACTATTCTTAATAAAAAATACAAAAAAAAATCCTCTAATAAGTGGAGTTTTCTTTGAATAGGATAACATATTTTTGTATAAAAGAGATACGAGCAGCTCAAATGTTGTACCCAAAACCCAACCGACAGCAAGCAAGGCGAAGATGCTACCACATTAGTACTATCAGAACAGACTGTTTTCGCAAGCCTACTTAAACTTGAGACAGTTGATTTCCATTTAACATCATCAATGCTCTAACTATCCTCTTATATAGCGATTGAGGCTGGAATATGGCTTACTCTATTATGGCTCCAGGTTAAGAATCTGTTATTGTCTATAGTTCAAGAAACTGAGGGTTATTATTTATTTACTTGCTGATATTGATTATCACACCCACTGTACTGTTTTTTCATGTACACATCAATATGTTTGCAAGTCTATTTATGGACCCGTTTATGGAAGAGGGATTATATCTGGCTTATGCCGTAATCTATACAAGGTAAATAGGAATGGATTACCAAACTTTGCTATTATGAATAGTTGAGATGCGCTATTATAGTGGGAAGAAGGAAATAAAAAATACTTGTGTCACCTTGTGGCTACTAGCTTAGTCCCATATTGAATGGACAGCTTATATTTATTTGGCTGCTTCTGCCTGAACTAACAAGAAGCACCTGCAATCTATGACATGAATATTGGGTCCTTGTTATAATTGTGAGAACCTTTCCTTAGAGGAAATATGCCATATGAAGGATATGCACTACTATGCCAAGGGCTATTTAATTGATAGCAGTCCCATATTTGTTATTATCATAATCATGTTCTTTTTCAATTTGAGATACTGTCTTGGCAACAATCCAAATGTTTTATCTACCAAAAGAAGAACAACCCAACCTAATTGCTGACAACTAAAAATTTGAGTCTACGTTAGACTGTCACTACTTAAATTGAGCTCACATGTAGTTAAGGTGGAGTTATGTTCAAACCTCATATTGTTTTGATAATACATTCGTATCCTTTGATACGACATCACAGTAACATAAGAATAATATGGGAATTTGAATGGCTTGAATAAGAGCATGATTGCTATAATCTTGATTTTTCAAAGAGTACTGCAACAAGTAATTGACATCCTTTGCTATTTACAGAGTATATGTATGTTCATTTTCTTTTCTTTTTCCTCAATTCTTTTATTATCTATTTATCTTCTTCAATTTGTTTTCTTGTGGCTTTTAGTGCATGAGACCAGCTGCAGCATCCATAGCTGGAGGAGCTTCCATTGGTCCTGGAGGCTCCCCTCATCATATTCCTTCATTTGTCAACGTGAGACCTGCTGCTGATCACATCAGGGTTGATTGGCAACCTACTCCAATCAAGTCTTCTAACTCAGTGCATCATATTTCTAGTCTTGGGCGATCAGCACGGAGCAACAATTCTTCAGCACATGTTATTTGCAACAGATTGGACTCCATGCTTCCATCAAAGATGTAGAACCTTCTATGCTGGCTTTAATTTTTAATGTTAGTTTTGTATATCAATATTTGGCTGTGACTGAATTGCTCTGTTTGGCTTGCTAGTTGGTGTAAGGACATATTTGAAAAAGTTGGGTAACAACATATCTCCTAAGTAGCATATCTTGTGCTGTTCAGCATGCCAACAAATACTGTTACATGTTTTCTGGAACAGAACTGTGCTTTAAATTTGTTTTATTTGGTGTTATGTTGGAATGCCCCATTATCTGTGTTGTACATGGATACCAATGTTTTCCTTTTCTATTCATAGTTGTCCAGTGTCCACTACAGTGATTACACATAGATATGAATGTTAAATCATTGACACGAAAATTGATACCAATAATAATTTTTCATGTCTATGATTTAACAGCTTTTGCATGAAAATTGATATTATTTAAATGACAAGTTTTTCAGTCACTGATATTTTGTTTCATCTGATATTTTCAGGACAGTATTTGATATCAACATTGATAACTTGCAAGAAAAGCGATGGAGACACCCTGGTGCTGATTTGTCAGATTTTTTTAATTTTGGGTTGGATGAGTTGAAGTGGAAAGATTATTGTGGGCAGATGGCAAGTTTCAACATTTCATTGCGTTCCTTCAGACTTCTCTCAGTGGGTTACTAATTTTTTCTAGTGCAGGAACAACTCTGCCTGGACAGTATGCGAAGTAAGATCATTATTTATGAAAGCAGGGGATCAGAGCAGGTAATTAGTTCCTTTTGTGGCTGAAAAGTGAGTAGCTAACTTTAGTCCTGCAGTCTAATACTCATAAGTTCATCTATATGCATAAAGAAAGAGATAACAAAGAGAATTACTGGTTTTTCTTGTGTTTTGCTTTTATTTCAGAATAATGATCAAGGCATACCCCTAGAGCTTGCCACTGCAACAAGCAGTCATGATCTACTGGCTGAAAATCCTTTCAGAAGAACGGATGCAACAAAAGAAAAATTACTAAGCGAAGGAATGGAAACTGCTCCTGAGCTGTCACCAATTGTATGTCTTACCCGTTCATTTTTGTAGTTATCTAAGAGTTTACTTCAATAGAATTTCTTATTTTCTGCTCTGCTTTAAATCAATTTACTATCATGGCATATTATTTCTTACAGTTCCTGTGTTTACTCCTTTATGCTGAAATTGCACTACCGAACAAATTAGGTCATTATGCCCTCAAAATTCTCCTTTATCTAAGACTTTTTTTTTTTTTTTAAAACCAGCCAATTGGACAAGCAATACAAGTAGATTTTGGTAGTGGTGAACGCCTTCCCTCCATTTATACTAGGCATCCACGGACAAGAGATTCAGGAGCAATTATTGAGGTAAGAAATCTGTTCTTTCGGTTGGTTAAGCCCAAAATTTCTGTTTCTGATGTTTTTTAAATGTATATGCTGTTTTCATATACAAAGTGTTTGGTGAGCAGATTGTTGTGGATGGTACTGATGCTGAACGTGAGAATTTTAAAAAAGATGTTGCGCAGTTAGACACTAGAGTTCACAAGAATATCCATGGAGGTGGGATCTGGCCCTTCCCCCTTGATTCAGGCCGTCAAGTTTCCCTTGATTTTCAACATTGTGCTGGAATTCATCGTACACCTCACAAAGAAAGGTATGGGATATGAGGTATTTTATGGTGTCGCTCGCATAAAACTGAACATATCAACTGCTTTTCTTTTTCTTTTTCTTTTTTTTTTTTATTTTGGAGTAAACGCTAAATTACTGTTTGGCCCACTATTTTATACTCTTTGCTAATTGTAAGTTGAAGCAGCAGTTTGGACAAGGAACAATCTTTTGTTCTTAGGGCATCCTTTCCAAATTAACAATTTTTTTTCATATTTAGATAGACATTCTTCACACATTATGAATTAATGTTATGCGTAAATGACATGAACATGAAAGAAACACAGATAAGAGTTTGAAACATGGATAGTGATGAATTTTTGGCTAAATTTATTGTGAACTGGCATTGACCACTTGAGCAATGCTCGAGCGGTGATTCCTTTGTATTGGGATCTACTTGGACCTGTAAAAATACTGGGAGTTTGTTTTTTCACTTGAGCAGTGGCTTTGGGGAAATCATTTAGGGTGCGTTTGGGAAGATTTGATTTTAGCCAAACAGCCATATAAAAAGTCAAAATTCTTTCTTTTTTCTCTACTTTTTATATGTTTTTCGTGAAAAATTAAGAAGTCATTCCCAAACACTTCAGATTTTTTCACCTTATATTTTAGCCAAAAAGCCACTAAAAAAGCTACTTTCCAAACCAACCCTTAATGTTCCTTGGGCAAATACATGTGGTGTTCTAATTTGATTTTTATTGGTTTAAATAGTGGGACTCACCACTTTTGTGTTGATTTTTGGGAGACAAGAGGATAGGTGTCACAACATAAATGGTGTGAAGCATTGCTAACTTCTGGTGGCTTTAGAGGTGGATGGGTTTCAGATGCGACCAGATCCAATTTTTGACTTCTAGATTAGATTTTTTGATGTACTATGTTGCCTTTTTTGGATTGGAAACCTAATTTACGTTTGATTAGTTTAGGTAAGACTCTCTCTAGTATACATGTATGAGGAGATATTCATTCTCCATCGGGTTTTTGAATTAAAAACAATTAGGTTTTGATGAGAGAGGCTTTGGAGAGACACCATTGTAGCTTTTTTGAGCACTTGTTCTTGCTTGATAGTGAAAACCTTTGCTTGTTGGATTTCCCATGGACATAGGCTTGGGCTGCAAAACGTCTTAGAGATAGCGACCTAGTACGCAAGTCAAACCAATTTGCAACTAATTGATTGTGGTATTTTCTTTACGCGAGCAAGGTAATCCGGTCCATAATCTCTCTACTGTTCCATCAGAATAAGTTTAGGAATTGAACACAAAAACTAAGTCTGGAGATTCGTACTCAATGGTGACGTATTACAAGTCAGTCTGCTTAGAGAAACATTTGGAAAAACCCTTTTTATTTAACAATTCTGATATAATAGTCACTTCAGCCAAAACATATGTTCATGGAGATTTTGCACCATATCCATATTGCATCCTCGATTAAGTCTTGGTATCAATAGCACCCAATACAACTCAACCTGGCGTCAAGAAGCAACGGTATGCTAATTAGAATGCATTGAAAACTTTAGCAGCGAACAAACTATAAAATGTATACAGTAAAGCAAATTTTCAAATCATGAAATATCTATATATACATCTTATTAATTTTAACCTTAGTGCCATATTTCCACTATTTGCAGAGAAATTCTCCTGTTGATAGTTTTTTTTTTTTTTTTTTTGTCTTGACTGTATACTTTGGGCCCCCTTTGATTACCTATAAAAAAATTTGTGATGAACACTAGTGACTTTGAGCTAGAAGTCCATGATGTTTAACTTGTGATCACTTAGTATGTCCTATTAATCAAAGAAGCTCTTTTTTGGCTGTATGCAAGTCACTTGTGCAGATAACATGGGGAGAAAAGGAAAAAAGCACGCTTATAAGAACTGTTACTCCACTTAGTAAATACTTCTATGGTTCTTCAGAAGACTGGAATGCCATTGTTTCTGGGATACTCTTTGAATTTCTTTTTGAGTATGGGTTATATTGTTGGCAATCTGAGGTGTAATGATTTATTTCTGTTTCTTGGTTGATAGGAAGCTGCAGAGCAATGAGAAAATAGATGGCATGGAAGAGGGGGAAATAGCATCTGACAAGAAATGCCCAAGTGAAACACTCAAAAATGAAAGCTTGATTCTTTCTGTTAAAATCCCAAGGCCGAGATCTCAGTTTATACAACCAATCAATAACATAACTGATGGAGATGATTTCAGGATTATTCAAAATAATGAATACAGCAGAGCAAGATCAGGGAGTAACAGGGATAAACACTTGATTCTGTGGAGTGATGACTATGGTAAAGATGAGGGGCATAAGAGAAATCTGCAAGAAATTGAGGAGAATCATGTAAATTTTTATCTTCCTTCAAGAAAAAATCTGAAAATTCACAATTGGAGTGATGATGAAAAAATTTTGAGCCCTAAACATGGAAGAAGTGATTATACTTTGACAGATCAAGATGAATGTTTGGATTATACTCATGCTAGAAGGAAGGGTGAAGAGTACATGAGGAGGAAGTATGACTATGAGGTGAAAGTTTCGCATGGTTACAAATCTAGGGAAGGTTATCTCCCTGGAAAGAGAGCGAGAATCAGAAGGAAGGGAGAAGGTTCCCAAAGGAGTCATCAAATTACCAGTAGTCCTACCAAAAGATATCATGTTAATAGCAGAAGTTACTGCAGTGATAAGGTATGCTTTATTCTGTTTTGAAACTTCTGCACACACTGATAAAGATTTTTCCACACTATAGAAATCCGAAAAAGCAAACAAAACTTCCAGAAAATATATATATATATATCTTCTTCTTGAAGGGGAATACTCTCCTTTACATAACAAACAAAATGTTCCATATGTTTTTTGCTAAATTTCTCTCAGGTTTTTCCTGAACAACTTGGCATTACGTGCCATTCTTGTCAAGGTCATTGTGGCATTCTTGTTAAGTTGACCTGACCTTGAAATTATTTTTCGGTGCGATCAATAAAGAAGACTGAATTGTGAAATGGAACTTGTGATAAGCCAGGTTATACTTAGTATATTTCCAAAGCTTTTCCTTCTGGTTATTAGCTGTGTATATTCAAAATCTCTCATGTCACTTTGTACCCCCTATGGATTTTCTTTTTCCGCAGCTCTTGGAGCTGATTTTGCTTTGATCACCACTATGCTAGCTGTCTCTATGTGACTTCAAAATTTCATATCCATAATGTAGGATAGTTTTAGAAAACTTCAAATAAAGTTTCCTAGGGTTAAGTGGTTGATGGTTTAGGGCAAGGAAAGCTTTTATAGTTTCTGTTCTATTATGTATGGAAAGCTTTTTGGTGGTTGGTTTCAGTTTCAGTTCTATCATCTATCTATTCTATTATATAAAGCCAACTCTTGAGTTGGTGTAGATCGTCACAGTTTTTGGATTTTCCCAAAATACCCCCGGGACATGTAACTACTTAGATCTTAACTTTTTAAATTCCCTCAAAATATAAATGGCTTCAAATAACTACCATGATTATTTTAAATTTCACACATGGTAGTGTGTGCCCACCTCTAGTAAAAAGAAATATTTGAGCTGCAGAATGGTGATAGCCCTTGCCATTCACCAAAAATGCGATGCCCCTTCCATATAATTAAGATGCCCTTTAACTTGAGTGCGAAATGTCTAGTATATCGCTTTTCGTATCTTTGGACCATTAAACACAATCATGCATTATCAAGTCAATACTTATCATATCTTCAGCTTTCAGGTGATAGGAGTCTTGGAATTGAGAAATTATGGTTGCATCATATTTTTCACATTGCTTGACAAACATGACTCCTTACAAATTGCTGGTAGAATTAAATCTTGCAGATCTGTATATTAGTTTCATTTATTTTGGAAGCTATTCTTTCTGACATTTTCATATTGTTCAGGTTAGAGTGGAAAGCTCAAGTGAGCAAACAAGAATGAAGCCACCGACAGCAGACTCAATTGACTGTTGTGATCTTGGACAACTGAAATCATCATCTGCTGCATTTACAAAGCATCATGAGCAAGAAACCCTGAAGCAATGTTATTTTTTGAGGACACAAAGAGAAGATGATAACTCCACTACCAATGAGCAAGACTTGAAAAGGGGTCGTTCTAAATTGGAGCGCTGGACGAGTTATGATGAGGATTAGAGAAGATGTTAAAAAACTGAAGAAATCAGAGTTGAGTTCAAGTGTCCAATCAAACATCAACATCTTGCTAAGAAGCCACATCTTTCTGCAGCTCAAATGCATGTAGATCAGACAACCTCAAAGTTTTCCAAGCGGGTGATCACTGCAAGTTGCAAATTACAGACCGTAAAAACTCTCCATTGGAATTTCTTATACAAATTATGAACCCTTTCTATAATGTAATTAGTCTCTCTTTAGAACTAGTTCCTCCCCCACATCTATAGATATTCAAGGTCAAGTATAATGAAATAAAAACAGATACTGAAATTGTAAGTGTCTTGTGATATTGGTTGTACTGTAGCTGTAGCAAGAGGCTTTCGGTCCATCATACGTTGAACTTGGTAAATTTCTATGACAAAGAAAACTTGGATGTAGCTTCCCAAGTGCTATTTGATACTTGAAGGTTTGGGAGGAATCTGACTGGTGTTCCTTTTCAGCCATCTATGTCCTCGTTTGGAAAGTGGCTATTTTAGTGACTTTTGATTTTTTTGACTAAAATATGAGGTAAAAAAATCAATATGTTTGTGAAGAATTTTTTACTTTTTACGTAAAGACATGCAAGCAAAAAGTATAGTGAATGGGAATGATTTTTTTTAATTTTATTATTATTATTATTTATTTATTTATTTATTTATTTTTGAATGAGTTGAAAACCTTTTGGCTTTTTGACTTTTTGGCTTTTAGTGACTGTTTAGCTTTTTTGGCTAAACTTTTAACTTCCCAAATGAGGCCTTAGACTATGTTTAGCTCATGGATTTGTGGAGAAATTTATCAGAAAAAAGAAAAATATAGGATAAAATACATTTTTTATTCTTAAAATATGTGTTATGTATCACTTTGTTCCTTCAAATTTTAATTTGTAAATTTTGTCCCTAAAGTTTTTAATTTGAGTTAAACTGGTCTAATTCTAAAAGGTCATTTAAATCATTAATTGAATAATTATAAATTTCAACTATGATCCTAAAGCATACATTTTGTGTCATTTTGGTGCATAAAATTTCAGTCTTGTCAAATTTCGTCCCTTAAGGTTATGTTTTATTTCTGTCATTAATATTTCAGGACTAAATTAACAAAATTAAAAACTCTGAGGATTTAAGTGACATGAAACACATACTTTTGGGCCATACGTGTAGTTTATTATCATTTTATTAACTATTTAGATGGACCATTTGAAATTGAACCAAATTGACTCAAATTAAAAATTTAAAGGATAAAATTGAAATTAAAGGATCTTTGGTTTTTTTCCCCCCTCACAAGATAGGAATTAGTAGTAAGATTACAACGTAGACGAACATATCTCTATAGACTCGAACCTGAAATCTCACTCACCTTGGCACCTAAGTGCTCTCTCCCTAACTGCTTGGACAATTGCCCCGGGTCAAACTAAAAAGATTAAAGTGACACAAAACGCTTACTTTAAGGACCATAAATGTATTTTATTGAAGGAAAATATTAGGGAAACCAAGAAATTGATTTATGTTCATCCCTTCATTATCTTTTTTATCTTTTCCTTCACCTTTCCTTTTCCTCCTAAATTCCTTTACAAATTTATAATTCAAACACAATTTAAGGCTCCATTTTGAATAAGTGAATCTAAAATGAAGGGATTCGAATTAAATTTCAAAGAAATTTAAAAAGGCTAATTGTTGAATATAGACTGATAGTTCTAAACTAAAACGAAGGATGAGATAGAGGCAGAAAAGGTGTAATTTGGTAATTTGGAAAGATTTCAAATTATTTTGCTTAGCATACTACATCAAATTAGGGAGAAAGGTGTGGTTTGCACTTCTAAAAGTGCACATCGTAAGAAATGTTACGGAATTTGGTGGGGGGATTGTGGTAAAAGTGACGAATAGAGGTATATTTTTTGAAAGTGCACATCGTAGTAGCTTCCTTGAATTAAATGTCCTCCTAGGACTGTATTTGGTTCATGAATTTTGGAATGAATTTGGAAAGGAAAAGAGAAACGATAGATGAAATGTGAATAGAATATAATTACATTTTACCTACGTTTCGCACACCTTTTCCCATACCTTTCCAAATCCCTCCCCAAATCCATAACAAAACAAAGCTTAAGTGATATCAACTCATGGATGTATTCATTGTAAATCTATAAGATAAATGTAAACTATGCAGCTCTAAATTTGAGAAAGCGTTAAGTGATCCATGTGCTTTGTGTCCTAAAAGTGAAAAACTTCTTTTGTCACCAAGACTAAAACATATGCTCCCAATATAAACATTCATATATCAACCTTTATGTTGTACTGAGTGATGAGCATGTCAATGACTTGAAAAATCATATATTAAGCATTAAGACACTCTAAGTACATTATGTTAGTCATTAAGACACTCCAAGCACATTTGCTCTGAGAATTTGGCTAAATTCAACTCAATTAAGTAAAAAAGAGGACTGTATTAGAATTTTCCAACCAAAGATCCTTCGTATCGTAATTTTTATGTTTGCTGTATTTTAATATATTCATAGTCAAACAATGTGGTAAGAATCTCGTGACATGATCAAATAGTTCAGAGTAGCTGGGTATAGAGAGAAATTTTTTAAAACAATAGATCTCATGATAATTTTTCCACTACTTGTTAAAATTACGAGCTAGCTCAATTACACGTAAAAATTATTGAGAAAATGAATCAATATGTTTTAAATTTTGAAAGAGAACAATTTTATTACCAATGCAATAGTAACTTTTGGGATATTGCTTTTGATAAGAGTTAAACCAGGGGCAGACCTACCAAGAGACTGGTGGGGCCCGGCCACCCCGGCAAAACAATAAAAATAATAAATAATAAATAAATAAAAACTTAGATCCTATAAAATTTTGAATATTTATAATATACTTAGTATAAAGTCTAGGTAAATTTGATTTGTATCTCCTCATAATCTACATAATTTATCTTATTCCTTGAAATTATTCCTTAATTTCTTACATATTCCAATATTTTTTGAGTTTGGTCTCTCTGTCATAGTTTTCGTGTCATGATCTTATTGTACTTTTTAACACAATAAGACATATCAGTAAATTATATAATCTAAAAGTTTGAATTAAATCTAAAATAAAATGGTATTGAAATCACACCTTAAAAGGACGTAGTTTTGCTTCAACTTAAACTTAAATTGTTAGATTACCACATCTAGATTATTGTAAAAGAGATCAAAAGATTGTTAGATTACTGAGAGGGAGATTTATGAGCTGGAAGTGGGCCGAGATAAAAGCCGTGCAAGTTGAAGGCCCAAGGGTGTGTTGGGCCGAGATAGCTTAGGATTTGCCCGGAGTTGGGGCTGCTCGGCCCGTGGCCGAACTACTTGCACCGGTGGTGACCGTGTAGCTTGAGTTGCTGGGCCAAAAGGCATACACCTTTGGCTCAGCAGGGAAGCTCGTGCCCGAAGCTCGGCAGGAAAGCCTTTGGTTGATCGGCGTGACCTTTCTAGAGCTCGACTTCGCCGGAATGCAGTCGAGCACGATAGGAACAGAGCTCAGCTATTGCTACACTTGGGCATGAAGTGCAGCCTGGATGTCGGCGGCCGTGATGCTGTACCCCAGTTGTCGAGCTCCCAGCAGAGTGGGCTGGCAGTTGGGTTAGGTGATGTACAACAAGATTTGTGCTGATGGATGGGATAGCAGTACCACGTGTCGAGAGAGCACTGAGGGTAGATTTGGGGCGCAGAAGGTATATAAGCATGTCTGCGTCCCCCATGCTTACGGCAGAGAAAAACATTTTGTGAGACAAACACTCAACACCCTCCTCTCTCTCCCTCTCTATCCCTGTGTGTGTATCTAACTTGATCGTCGGAGGGGTTTTCCGACCACACACTGCCGGGTAGCTCACCGCCGTTGTGCTCGCAGGTCAATCGGACTGGTAGGAGCTTGGAAGAAAGGAGTGCGGGCTTGCCTAAATATTTGCTCCCCGTACAATTGGCGCCGTCTGTGGGAACTTTGCAGACAAAACCTTGCCTTCCAGGCTCGTCTGATCACCGTCCATGGCGAACAACGAAGAGATTTCGCTGTCCGCCGTCGACGAAGTTACCCCGGAGTCGGGCAGACGGAGAGAAGGACATCCCACATCATTCCTCCAATGGCGGACCTGGAGACTTCTCAAGGAGGACACTCAAGAGACGTGTGGGATAAGCGCAGAAGAAGTTATGGTCATTCACGGAGTCCAGATGGTCATCGGCGGCGGAGAGAATCGCACACCAAACGTCTGGAGCACAAGCTAAGGGACAAGGACGCCGTCATCCGGCGAATGGCGGCGGAGATGGAGGAGCTGAAGCGGCATGTCAAAGGGAAGGGTGTAGCTGGAGGGGGAGACCACAGTGAGCGCACCCAACCCTGCCGTTCAGGCAGTCAAAATCAGCGGCACACTCCTTCCATTTCTATCACCAGAAGTTACAAGGTTGCAGATTCCGACGTGCATGTAGAGAAATCCAGCGTGCAAGATAGCACTTACCAGCTCTCACATCCGGTGACGACGTCGAGGTGCTCCTATTCCGCTCGTTCAGAGGATTTGCGGGCAGTTTTTAAGGAACGGGCTCGCCGGCGGGAGGCTCAAAGGGTGTCGGCGTTCCAGCGGCTATCCTATAGGGTTCACGCCAGCGAGGAGGTCGGAATGCCTCCACCCCGCCCAGCCGCGCCTCTCCTTGTAGACACAGACTTGGCGAGGCTGAGTGCCACTCCATTCTCCGTGGATATAGAGATCGCACTGCTTCCGGCGGGCTTCCACCAGCCAAAGTTCACGCTCTATGACGGAAAAACCGACCCGTATATGCATGTAAGTCATTTCCGACAGGTCATGGCCGGACATAGGCGGAATGATGCTCTCATGTGCTTGATTTTCCTGTCGAGTTTGGGCGAGCTGGGTTTGAAATAGTTCGAGAGGTTGCCGGAGGGGAGCATTGAAAGGTGGCAGCAGTTGGCCGAAGCCTTTGTGACGCGCTTCAAAACCAACACCAAAACACCAAAGGAAGTTGATCACCTCCTGAGTGTCAAGATGGAACCGAGCGACACATTGAAGGCATACAACTCCATATATTGGGAGACCTTCAACGAGATCTTGGATTGCCCGGTCAACCTTGTAATCACACAATACAAGCATGGTCTCCCGGTCGGACATAGACTGCGGGACTCGCTTACCATGCACCAGCCGACATCCATGGGCTAACTAATGCAGCACATCAATGAACACATCCGAGTGGAGGATGATGCGTCAGCATCTACCGTAAAGGCAACTCCGGTAGCAACAGACAAGCGGTCGGCTGGCAAAGTGCACACGGTCGAACAAGAGTCCATCCGTTCAAATGACCACGCTGAAGAATCGGACCGTGGCTCGAATCCCAAAAACTGGGGTAGGGGACGTCGGAATGACCGGGATGACTACCCCCGGGATGATGTAGCCG